TGGCGTCTGCCACTTCTTTTACCATCCTTTTTCACCATTGGATTCCCATCGTAGACTTTGTTTCCATGTCAAAGGGGGAGGGACGGCATACCGACGGGGAAAGGGCAAGAGAGGCGAGCTGGCAGCACACACACTGCTGCGTGTGGGGCAAAGAAAGTCCCCTTATACAGCGATTTTGCTCGTTATCAGTGAGTCTGAATGCCCCTGAATCAAGGCCAGTATTGCAGTCTGCAAAACCAGCGTTTTCGTTGCGAACGGGCGAAGTGAATGGAGATTGGTGAATTACGCGGTGCGTGCATCAACAAGAGTTGGATCTTTAAAAGACTCGACGAGCACGGAGCCAATTAAAATTCAAACCACGAGGGGTCGGTCGCAGAATGCGCGTCTTGCGGATGACTGCGAGAGGTATGAGAGCGCGAGTTGATTGCCGGAGTCAGGCGCAGACAGTTCGGCGGGGTTGGTCTGCTCAAATAGTCGGGCATGCGGTGAACAGATCGACAAGAGCTTTCAGGAAGGAGAGAGAGGGTGTGTGTGAGAGGGAGAAAGGGACAGAAAGGGAGGGTTGATTGGAGTGGGTTGATTGGTTCTTAATCTGTCATAAGGCGCAAAACTTTGAATTGAGTCGTCGTTCCTGTCATCTACAGTAATGAAATCTAATTGAAAGAATTTCTAGAATCCAGACATGTGTGAAATGTTCCCCCTGTGTCCGGTATACTTGAAAGCCTAGATGATTTCGCATTCGACCATTTCACCTCCTTCCTCAAATGTGCGGATACTTTCCCGATTCCCAAAAAAAAACGCCCATCCTTGAAAAAATCTTTCCCCTGTCATCTTCGAGATGCAGCACCAAGCAAACAGGTTCTTCATGAAAATCATCGCCAATTCGGAGCAGATAAACCTCCAATTCTTCGGGCCAATCCAGGCAGGACTTTGGATCAAAGTCGAAGCATATGCCCCCGCTCACCTCACTGGAATGACTGTACAGTGTCTTATCTTTTTTAACGGTGCAGGACAGCATCATACCTCGCAGGATAAGCGTGCTGCTCTTCAAGACCCCAAACTGGTTGTCTTCAGCGTACAAGCACCTCGCTTTCACGACCTCTACAAGAAGCACCTCGGGTAAAATCCAATACTCGATTTCTCCCTTGAATGAGGCCCACGACCATGTGGGAAAGTTGAAATGCCTCTGAGGAGGAAAAGTGTTGGAAAATTTGGACGGCAAGACCGCCAGCCAGAGCAAGTCATCAGGCAAGGAATCTGTCCACAAGCCGGCGAGGTATTCCGATCCCGGACGAACCTGCTGAAATTGCTCAGATATGGCCCCCAAAGCGACCAATCTGTCTCCTGGGTTGGTGATTTCAAACTTTGAATAAAGCTGAGCGACAGCATTTCTCCAAATCGTTTCAACACAGTGAAAGCTGTCGTTCGATTCGCTGTTGGATTCAGATTCCGGAAAGATCTCTTCCTTTGTAATTGAATGCCATGCCTGGAAAATTCTTCTCTTATTGCGAGTGTGTCCGTCGAGACCTTGACTCAAATCGCTCGTTGTACCACACTCGCACTTGGCTTCGCAACCGCATTCATAAATAACCTCGCTTTCGGTAAAGAAGAGCACTCGAGGCGACATAATGCGTTCTTGAAAGGTCCAAGCTCGTGTCAAAAGAGGATCTTCCTTCAGTCTGGCATCACGTCCCAGGTAGTGATGGCGACGGATATAGAGAGGGTAAGTAAATTGGCCAAGCCTAAAAGTTACCACAGGCCGCGTCTCCTGTTTAATTGTTGTGTTCCGGAGTCCAGATGTGCTATCCTTGCCAAAAAGGGCCGCAAGAGTAACTTTGGCGTTCTTGTAAACATGAAACATTCGCCCTGCTTCCCTTTGCCAATCATCTTGGTCTCCTTGAATTATGCAGATACTGTCGATCCAGAGGTATTTTAATCCAAGGCCTTGGGTGAATTTGATAGCGTCGCGGAAAGTAGGTGGTAGTGAATCCCATGATATACGGTTTAAGTTCCTGTCCTTGTTGTCGCGAGTGGTTATACATTCTGGCTTATAATCGCCCCAACAGTAGCTTAGGGCGGCGTATTCGCGCGGAGTCGCTGAATCAATACCATTGAATTCCCGCAGCTTGATATCCAGGCCCATGCCACCTGGATTGACATCAATTAGTCTTGTAGGAATGACTGGGTCATTGTCTTGCTCAACACATCGCTTGTGTTGACGTAGGCAGTTGTTTATGTGGCCTCGTGCCCATATTATTGATTGCTCCATTGAATCATCCAGCGTCGAATCCGGGGCCAATGTCCCATTCTTTACTAAGAGGATTTCCCTGATGTATGAATTGGGTGTTTCGGATGGCACAAAAATATTGTAGTCAATCCAGCGACGATCGGATTTGCGCTTGTGTTCATCGTCCAATGAAGGCTCCAATGCAATCTTTGCCTCCCATGGGGCCCATTCAAGCAAGTATCCGTCCTCTGGGCCCAATCCCTCATATTCAGATATCGCGTCGAGCAAAAGAAGTTCGAATTTGCAGAACCAGCAACCGGATACCTGTGTGGGGAGATCTTTACGCCGCAGAGTCCGCGTCGTAATCAAAGGCAACCATTTCGAGTAGCGCCACTCACACACGGAACACTTCTCCGACGAGCTCTTCAAGACCCATTGACCTTTTTCGTCGACCTCGTAAGGCAAATCGACGGTGGGTACATCTGGCTGTGGAGTTGAGGAGCAAGTCGGATCGCTACTCTTCGTCGTCGTCGTCGGATCTGCTTCTTCTGTCGATGGAGGTGGAGGTGCGTCGGCCGACATGCTGACCGAGGCGTTTATTCTTCCAAGCCGGACGGCTTGAAGTTGCAACCTCGTTCTGCCTGCGGAGTGAGGAGTTTTCAGGACATCGATCAAAAGTGGAGCTGCTCATGTAAGCGAACGAGCCAATGAGTCGACATGTGCTGGCTGCAGATACCTCGATATTCTCGCGTCAGGTCGAGTTGGGCGACGAGTCTTGCGAGATGAGGTCAGGAGAAGGAGGAAGAGGAAAGTAGAGGAAAAGTAGAGGAGGATGCAAAGGGGCGACAGTCTGCCTGCTCGTGCTGACTTGATTGAGGCGTCGGGGCTGTACGGTGGGGGCAGACATCCTTCTGATTGACGTCGCCCCCTCTGGAAGAACAAGTTAACCCACGGCCTCCGACCCCAACTCGTCACACCTGCTGTCACGGTTGGCATTTCTTTCACAGCCTCTCCAGTGACGCTTCTGTTGATTACTGCACCAACCCTTTAAAAGTCGCTCGATCCCGTCTGTTGATGTTGCGGCGTTGGAGTTGCGACCTTTCCGCTTTTCAGCAGGCGCAATTTCCTACCAAAGTCGCTGGCTTCTTTGCTTCTCCACTCTCGCCTGTTCAACGGCTCCGTCCTGCCTTTTCCCTCGGCCATGTCATCCGTGGTTGACCGAGGAACTTCTCACTGCCATAGGTCCCTGAGCCAACGACACTCGGTTTCCGGCCCGCGAATGGTTCTTGTCCGCTGCTTGAAACCCCCGAATGGCCTGGCAAGTCTGTAGAAATTGGCCACTCCCTTTGCCATACCAGAAGGCTCGCCCGCTAGCTGAAATTGGGTAACAATTTACGACGTGCGCGTCCCAGCCCTCTGGGCAAGCGCGCCTGACGGGCTCTCTTCAGTCGACTGCGCCTGGAGTTGAGCCCTGCCCGTCACCAATCACTTCGATGATTTACGACGACGCAACGTGCGACACGGCCGCAAGACCTCTCAAACAAGCCGCCAACTTGCGCGCCTCTCCATATCGATCTCGCTCGAAAACACTGTCAGTCGTGTCACCTGCTCGCCTTCTCGTCCGCCCGTTCGCCTGCTCGCGTTACTTGTCCGCCAGTCTGCCTGTCCGCTCACTTGCTCGCTTTCAATCGTGTTGCTCCTTGGTCTGCTCGCTCATCCGCTCAAATTGGACATGCTCTTTGACTTTGAACGTCTGCACGTCTGTTCGTTCGCCCAAATTAGACATGCTCTTGAACTTCAAATGCCTAGATGTCCGCTCGTCCGCTCAAATCGGAAATGATCTCGACCTTCAAACGTCTACACGTCTACTCGTCCGCCCAAGTTGGAAATACTCTCGAGCTACAAGCGTCGTGACCCTTGATTTTCACACAGATTTCCTCGCGCTATTCTTCCAAATTTCCCCCCACTCTCCTTCTCAACTTCTTTGTCCTCATCTCTTGATACCAAGCCAACACCGTGACTTACCACTAATAACATAAGCCAGATCCATCACCATCTTCTTCGATCCTTTCGATACAGGTGCGCGCTTAGTCTTTGATGACTCAACCAGCCCCAGCATAGTCAAGACTTTTCTCTCTCTTTTTTCAACTGTCTTCGTACTCCGTCATCCTAGTACTTGGGGAAGAAGGACTTCACCACATAGGAATTTCGCATCGCACTCTAAGTCTGACATTTTTCTCGGCCGCTGAATAACTGACTCCCTGTTTTGTCCTGTCCCCACACCCACCGACGCGCTGCTCTGAAAATACAGTGCGGTGGCAGTCATGCAAAGCCAGAAGTGCCGCCGTCCAGGCCAGTCGGACAGTCTCGGTGGTAGTGCAGCACAAGCGCACGAATGCTCCTCAAAGGCTCCACATCACATTGATTCTGTGCGCTTAATATTCTAGGTCTTCTAGTAGTACCAAGATTGGAAGCTCCCTGCCTGCCTACATGTACTGACATGCTGCTGCTCTTAAAATGCGGTGCGGCGGTGGTGGTTATGCGAGGTCGAATCATCGTCGTTTAAGTTAGTTGGGTGCTCACCACAACCCGCCCGCCCGCCGGTCCTTCCCGCCCCACGCACCCGACCCCACCGACCACAATACCCACTACAAATCCCACCCACCACAAACCGCAAAATCGCCCCCCTCCCTCTCCTCCCCTCCCCTCCCAACCCAATTTCTCACTTTATAAATTATTATCTCGCTCCCCATCCTAACAAACCAGCCTACCATCTTCCGTGGCGCAATTGGCTAGCGCGTCTGACTGTTACAACTGTTCCTGAAAAGGAGCAGCTAGCAATCAGGAGGTTGACAGTTCAAGCCTGTCCGGGAGAGAAATTCTTTTTTGGTTTTATGGTTTTGCGGTGGGGAGGGGGAGTTAAGCGAGGGAGCAAGCGACCCACCCTCGTTTTGTTTAAGTGCGCTGAGTGTGGTGCACTGAGCGTGGTGCTGGTTGCTGCTGCGGTGCGGTGCTTGCTACCTTTTGGAATAGTGGTGGGGTTGTTTGTTGGTGGTGGTGGTGGTGGTGGGTGCGCGGCTTGCTACATGCGTCTGTTGGTGATGATGGTCCTCAACTACCTATGTTTCTAGATTGCGACATGATGTCTCGGAGCTGATAATTTCTGTCGTCACCATTGCGGTTTGCAGGTGCTGGTGAATGGGTTTCATTTATGACCGTATAATGATTGCTGATTTTGCAGATGATGCGCCCGCCGGGCATTTCCGCCGCGCCAGTATTTTTGGCATTCGCCTCCTTGAACTACTGCTGACCATTTTCCGCCATGCCTGCCGCGTATATCCATCTTCAAAATCACACTGCTTATTTCTTCTCCCTCTGCTGCCACAGCTCCTCAATGGCCAGGCGCGTCCCCTCAACAATGGCGCCCCACTCGACCTTGTGCAACTTTTCCTCAAAGTCCTCCAAGCGGTCGTCCTCGCCGGCGACGAAGGGGATCTCGCGCGTCAGGATGGGCGTGCCCATGTCGACCTCTTGGATCACGTAGTGCACCATGACGCCGGTGCGCGTCGTCTTGCCGGCGCGCCAGTCGGCGTGGGCGCGGTCGATGGCGTGCGTCTGTGGGGTTTAGGTCAACGCGGCTGTCGTCGCACAGAGAAGAGGGAGGGCCTTCGTACGCCATTGTACTCGCCCGGCAGGGCCGGGTGCAGGTTGATGATGGGGACGCTGGCGGCGGCCAGGGCGTCGAGCAGCGGCGGCGACAGGATGAGCATGTAGCCTGGAGGGTTGCGAATGAGTCAACGTCAACGGACGAGGTAGCCAATGTGTTTGGCTGGGTGCGCATCACTACTGACCGGCGCACACGACCATGTCGGGCGCGTCGTCGAGCACCAGCTTGGCCAGGTCCTTGTCAAACTCCTCGCGCTGCTGCGGGCGCGCCAGCTCCGGGAAGCGCTCCTTGTAGGGCGGGAAGCCGTGGTAGTGCGTCGCGATGCCGGCCTGCTTTGCGCGTTCTAGCCCGTAGGCAGCCTTCTTGTCCGAGATGACGCGCGCGATGGACGTGTTGGGCAGACGGCCATCTTGGGTCGCGTCGATGAGGGCTTGGAGGTTGGTTCCGCTGCCTAGGAGTAATGTGTTAGAGGGTGACATGGGCCAAGGGCGGAGGGCTTACCGGAGATTAGGACGGTGAGGCGGGTGTGATGGCGGTCGACCATGGTGAGAGAGACATGGTGTAGTAATAATGGAAGTGCGAGGCCGAGCGGAGAGGGGAGAATTGAAGAAAATGTGGGGCGTGGGGTAGGTCGCGGCTTATCGGCTTATCGCGGGCGATGAGGACATGGAGGTACTGTACTGGGCCGAACAGAGTGAAATGACAAGGTCATCAGGTGGAGAGTTGATGCTGCTGACAGAGGCGCGCGACCACAAGTCTCGACTGGATTCGTGTTGACGGGTTGGGGCGTCAGGTGACTGCAGCTTGACCCGTGACGGCTAGGCTGCAAGTCCAACAGACTGGAGGCGCAAGCTGGACCACTCCGGCTGCCTCTTCCACTCACCGCCGCCCAACTCCACTCCACCCACCTACACCCGTCTACTCCTACCTGCTCCTACCTCTGCATCAACCACCGCATCAACCCACGTCCACCACAAACCTCACTCTACGACACACACATCCACCATGCGTTCCAAGTTCAAGGACGAGCACCCCTTTGAGAAGCGCAAGGCTGAGGCGGAGCGCATCCGCCAAAAGTACAACGACCGCATTCCCGTAAGCACACCCCTCTGCCCCTCTTCGCTCTCTCTCTCTCTCCATCTAACCCTCGCCCGCCCTCGACCAGGTAATCTGCGAAAAGGTCGAAAAGTCCGACATTGCCACCATCGACAAGAAGAAGTACCTGGTCCCCTCGGACCTGACCGTCGGCCAGTTTGTCTACGTCATCCGCAAGCGTATCAAGCTCTCGCCCGAAAAGGCCATCTTCATCTTCGTCGACGAGGTCCTGCCGCCCACGGCCGCCCTCATGTCGAGCATCTACGAGGAGCACAAGGACGAGGACGGCTTCCTCTACATCACGTACGTTTGCTGCTTTGTTCGACGACGACGACGACACCGTCGTGAGTCACCGCCATGGCCGACGCTTACTAACCGCTCGCTATCCATGCAGATACTCCGGCGAGAACACGTTCGGAGGCTTCGAAGCCTGTTGAGAAGCTCCTCTCCTGCCTTTTAGGTCTCGGGTTCACGGCACGGACGACTTGCGGATGGATGGTTCCGACGGCGCTGACAGACGGCGTTTGGTGACGGCTCATTTTTGTTCCTTTTCCTTTCTCCTTTCGGGTTCAGGTTGAGAGAGATCATGCACGACGGACGATATTATCGATAGAGACTCTATCAGCAAGCAAAGCGAGGGGCGGAGCGGGCGGCCGTTGCGACGCGCGACGCTGTGCCGGCACATCACAACACCACGGACTGCGGCATCTGCAACGGCAGGCTGCTGCTCCCCGACACATGGTCGTCCGCTTGCCCCTCATCTTCATCCCCCTACCCTTTGTGTCTTCAAGTTGGTTGGTTGATTGACGCGGGCGGGGTCTTCAGGTAGCAGCTGCTCTTTCTTCAATTCACACTGGTTAAACAAGAAATCCGTTGTTGGATAAGCACGATGCATGCAGTCGCAGTAACCCAGTCTCCTGTTATCAGACGATTCAGAATTGCAGTCCATGCGGAAAATGATGCAACCTGTGAGGCTGAAGATAGCCTCGTAGGTACCTAGATAGGGCCGCCGACGGTGCCTGTGACGCCATCCACCCATCCACCCATCCACCCATCCATCCATCCCTCCTCAACGCTCCCGCCGTGCTGTGCAGTCCCTCTCCCCTTTTGGCGGCTGGCTAGCTGGCTGACTGGCCGGCTGCGCTGAGCGTCAGCCAGACATGATGGCGCTGGTTGGTCACAGGTCATCAGCACAACAACCAACAAGCATCTGACGCCATGGAACAATGCTATCTGCGTTGATCACTCAGGAACTCCCGCCACCCCACTTCTACATACACGATACACCACTTATGTTTTTTGCTGCTGACGAACGGAACGCATGCCATCGCGACAGAACAGATGGAAAGACGAGTCTTGTTTGGTGAATTCTTGCGCTTATCTCTTGCCATGTACAGTGCTGCAGAGCGATGCGTGCTTGCGTGCATTTGTTCGTTGCTATGGAGGTGTCTTCCCTGCCCTGTTCTGTTCTGCTCTGCTCTGCTCTGCGGCTGGAACGGTTAGAGTGATACATAGCCGACGACAGAGTAGATACATGTAGTGGATGGGACACTTGGATGTGGATGGGACACTTGGATGTGGTTGGGTAGTTGAATTGAGCGTTGACTTGCTGCCCGGTTGTCCGCCTCGGCGTGGCTCGCTCGGTCGGTTACCTAGGTCGTCGGCTGCGGCCCGTTCGTCTCCCGTCGGCAAGGAACGATCATCTACCTATAGCACGACTGCCGCTACTAACGACTACGTCAAGCCTCTCTCGAAATCATCGACAACGCATCGCATCTCTTTGGGACAGACTGGGCGGTTTGAGTTGTTGCTGACTGCGATCTTTTGACGACTCGGGAGCGAGTGGATTGAGGAAGCGTCAGAAAGAGCTGGGGGATTTGCGGTTGGAATCATCGTCAGTCAGGTTGGTTGGCTGAGAAAAGCGAGAAGAGCAAAGAGCACGGAGTAAAGGGGCCTGAGATAGGGCGCTTTCTGCACCCGGAGTGGACGCTGAAGCGGTGGCATTGCGACAGGACGTCTACATACCTACAATCGCTCTCAGGAACCCGAGGACCTGCGCACGCATCGGCCAAACCATCATGGCGTACAAGTACATCATCTCAAAGTACGTCGACTTTCTATCCTTTTTGTCGTCTTTTCGTCGACTACACAAATCCTTTCCTGCTTTGCTGCTCCCACCGCAACCTACCAACACCGCATACCAGCAGCTCCCTTCCTCGCACACTGACACGGCCAAAACAGAAATATTGACCCCCTCTTCGCCGCCGCCATTGGCGTCGCAGCCGCCGCCTCCCGCATCAACCGCGAAGAGCGCGAAAAGGGCCGCGGCCCCGCTCAGAGCTGGCGCGTCTTCCAGCGACGCTGGCAGGTGGCGTTTGGCGGGGCCCCCACGGGTGCGAGGTGAGGTGGATGGATTCATGGCAGACGGGGTCGTCGGTCTTGCTTTGTCCATCGGCGGTGGCGACCGGCTTGCGTTGATTCTGGGTGCTTGATTTATCTGGGGGTTGCTGAATGTGGGTGGTGGTGGGTAAGTCGTCGCTCGCATCATGTGGCCTGCCTTTGTTGCTGCGCTGCCTGACCTACGGGACAAAGCTGATTGATTTGCGGTAGTCATGGAATGGTGGATCGAGAGCTGTGACATACATGGCAGCCCGGGCGTCTCTGTCTCTTTGTTGTGATGGGCCTTTTGCAGAGTTTTCAAGCCGTTTCTGCCGCTTTGTTGTCGACGACGACGCCCGCTCTGCCCTCTCGAAATCAAATCGCGCTGTGTGCTTGCTGAGCCATTTCACGCCTGCGTCTTCTCAGTCTTGAAATTATGGAGGGAAGACTTGCGGGCGCAAACGAATCACATCACCCGAAGGACGCAGCACATTCTCCACTCTTTCTTTCAGCCTGGCATCCACAAAGCCATCCCATCCCATCCCACATTCCACACTCCCCCATCCCAAAGCCCTCCGACAAACACTCCGCCCAGCCAATGAACTGCCCTCCATTTCCAAATCCATCCCCATTGTGCGCCCCAAAGACTCGGGCGAGCAGTTTCCCGGGCCCCTGCTTACCGCATCTAGTCCGCATCGTCCAGCGCACCTTGTCCAATCAGCGAAATGCGTATAC